ACATCTGATAATTTGTATGACTTTTCTATAATGACCCTTACCAATATGTTGTCCTTTCCCAATTAACGAGTCATGGTGTGGCGTGATGTTCCAATTTATACGTAGACATAATCAAATGTCAGTGTGTTGAATATAGGGATTCCGAATTAACAGGGTTTAACTTTATATTTGTGTGTTTGTGGGCCGGTGTTGAAGCCTTGTTGTTATAGCGTTCGCTCGTCACGTCGAAGGCCCGGGTTCGAATCCCCAAATCCCCACATCCCAACATTCCCCAACAGGTACAACGTGTGAAGCCTATTTCTTGTGTCCCTCGTCACGATATTACTGGAATATTGCTAAAAGCGGCGTAAATCCATACACACCCATTTGTTTGTTTGTTTGTATGTTGTTTAACGCCGCACTCAGCAATGTTCCACCTTTATGATAGGGCGTCATTGTATTTCCATTCTCTTAGCTAAGTCTATCACCAAGCTGAGTCCGTTCATTTTTTAAGTTGGTTGGTTGGTTTGTTGTTTAACGCCGCACTCAGCAATAATCGAGTCTGAAGCAGACAATCCAGTGATTGACATCATGAGCATCGATCCATGCCGTCAGGGTATGAATACACACAATCAACCAAGTCACCTAGCCGCACCGCCGGATCCATTTGGCTGGCTCTTACGACCTCTTCTAGCCCATAGTAGGACTGTTACAAGTCAAGTCCAGTCAAAGTTGATTCATAGACCTCAGGGAATATACAAATGGTAACAGTATTACATCCTAGCGAGCAATGCGCGGCTCAACAATTCAGACGAAACAAGACTGAAGACTTGCTACCCTACCAATCCCGACCAACCTGACCCACCAGTTGCCTAAGTGTATATATACTTACAAATATTTTCATATCTTGATCATAATACATTCTTCCTTTCATTCATAATGTGGTACACACACTTTGCCAATCGAAATATTACATTTCTGCCCATCCTTGCATTAACTGGACAAATTTGAAATCACTAGGGTGTACATATGAGTAATTGGGCAAATATAGCCGTCTTGACTCCATTTATTTTGGACACATTATTAAAACATGGTATTCGTCCTCTATATCAGTTTCACAAAATGAACGTAGACGCTGTGCTAGCTGTAATTTGGGTTTAACCAATTTCCCCTTTTCAATCTTGAACATGTGTGAACTGAGCCTAAAACGTGTTAGGGCTACTCGGTATTTTACAACATCAATACTATTAAGATATATATATATATATATATATCATGAATTCGCTGCTTAAATTCAGTTTCATTTACAATAACTTGACCCAGCTAAACGTATCCGAAACCTAATTGGTTTAACATATTTCTAACCAGAACGGTCCACCTTTCTACATTAGGATGACTTAACATCATTTCTAAAGCTTTATACCCAATGCTAATATATCTATTTGGATCACACTTTAAGATTTTCATCCAATATTTCATAATTCTAACAAACCGCACACTTATGAGTGGTGGTACCCCGAATTAACCATAAACACATGCCGATGGTGTAGATAATTTAATCTTTTTAATGTATCTAAGTTACACTCTTTCAAATGCATTAGCCTACCGAAAACCACACACCTCATATCCATAACACAATATGGGTTGAATTAATGATTGAAATAACTGGTAGTGGATATCAACAGAAATATATTTATTTCTATCAATAAATAAAGCTTTCATTGCCTGTTTAGATAAAGTTTTTTGACATTCTGAAAAACTGCAAGAGGGTGTAAAACACCAGACCAAGATATTTGAAATAAGTAACTACCTCTAATATATCACCCTTGTAAAACCAGGGGGCACGGGTGGCCCAGTCGTCTGAGGCGCCGCGATTCGCTGTGCCAGAAACCTTTGATTGTGGGTTCGTCCCGATTATGTTTCTAGGTTTGTCAGCACCATACCCGTGCTCTTGGGTTTTACCGAAGTGGTAAACGTCTGAGACTCGCATCACTTCGGGCTTTCCTCCCACATTAAGCTGACACGCCGCGATATAACTGGAATACTGTTAAAAGCGGCGTTAAACCCAACTCACTCACTCACTCACTTGTAAAACCACCTCTTTCTCTTTTAGATGATCTTCCTCCTTTTCTTAAAAAAACAGTGTTAGTTTTCCCAACGTTTACTATCAAATCCCACTTACTACAATACTCAGAGAGAAAATGAAGACCTTCCCGTACTCCATCAACACTTGTACTGAACAAAACCATGTCGTCAGCAAACAACAACAAAAGTAAACAATAGTTAATACATAGACACCCAGGTCCTGCAAAGATGATAAATCTTGAGCAATATCATTATGAAACAAAGGAAATAATATTGACGACAAATTCTCACCCTGCCTTACTCCGATACCAGAACTGAAATAATCCGAATGCGATTCATTCGCCATTTTAACACATAAAAGGGACATAGTTAGTGAACTGTAATGAACGATAACTAATTTCTCATGTTCCACTGTCAATGTAAATTATCTTATTTGCGTAATTTTAGGCAGTTTTTGTCTGTTTGCATTCCCTGGTGTTATTGCGAAGTCATATAATTATCAAACTTCTTTTGACGTAAATTATTATCAATGACGTTTAATGTAGGGGCGCTTTATTTTGTACCGCCTGACATGAGATTCCCTCGAGATAACTAGTCTTGGTGCAAACGCACTTGGGGTAATAATAGACTTTGCACTAAATATAACTTCGATGATACGACGATACAAATAAACGCTTGAAATTATTGGAATTAGAAAAAATATTAGAGAAGAATATTGTGAGACAGTGAGACAGTGACAGTGTATTAAATGCAAGGCATTTTGTAAATCAATAAGAATATTATGATCCCGCCATCTCACCACCAAACACCCCGCCGAAAGCTGGTTCGTTGTCTTTACGTACCTACAACACAAACGAGGTGTTACTGTATTCATAAATGAACTCACCAGAAAACATATTTATTCTGATCAACCATGGAAAATGATGGAAATATCCACTAAAGATGCTGATTGTAACAGGCTGCCGACGTACGGCAGGATTATTGCTGTACGGCGTTAGGCACGAACAGACGCATACTTGTTCATGCTTTCTTTCTTTGTTTGTTTGTTTGTTTACTGTTTAACGCCGTACTTAGCAAAATTCCAGCTATATGATGGCGGTCTGTAAATTATGGACATCCATTGACTGACATAATGAGCATCGATCCAAACAGTTGGGATATCATGACATGCATCAACCAAGTCAGCGTGTCTGACCACCCGACCCCGTCAGTCGCCTTTTATGGCTAGCATGGGTTGCTGAAGACAAATTCTACCCCCGGATCGTCTCGGGTCACTTGTTTATGCGAATTGTGTGAGTGGCAGGACATTAGCGGGACATCCTCACTCTTTTTCGCGAACCATTAATGCTATGAATACACAATGTCATTTAGAAAGTCGTCAAATGTAACACTTTCTTAGTAGTACAGATTCTCGTACGGTTTTGGGTTGAGTCCCGTCCGGGAGTGAGGGCGAGAAGTACGAGAATCTGTACTTTACTAAGAAAGTGTTTTCCAAAAATATAACATTTGTTACATTTGACCCCTTTCTAAATGGCAATGTGTATTCAGAGCTTTCGGCCATGGGAGCCGGGAATTCTTTTGTGGAAGCCTCGGTGGCTGAGTGGGTTAGATCGCTGACTTTGTGTGCTGGCAATTAGGTGCCTCACTCTGGCAAGTGTGGGTTCGAATCCCGAACGGGACTCAACCCCCCAAAAGTACGAGAATCTGTACTTTACAAAGAAAGTGTTATCCCTAATATAACATTTGTTACATTCATGTAATTTTCATTACCATGTTTTCTTTGCGCCCAGTGGAATCTGTTTCGGTAGATCATCGGGGCCAATTATTCCCTGGGACACCAGTACACCAGCCATACGACTGTCGAACACCTGGTGTCATCAGCTGACTTTCAGTGCTCCATGCATACAATTTTCACCACTTCTATACCCAATGTAATGTTTCGACTGATAGTCGAGACTGGTAATTCACTGGCATTGACATCGTATATTTACGTGTACGGCTGTCGAGTAGCATCGTGCTTGCATGTGTGTACGTATGCTGTAATATATCTGTGGTTTGATACAAAAACCCTTCTAAGCGACGCACTACCCATTACCCTATGTGGCAGAAGTCGACCAATCCGCGTCTCCTTTGTCAAAGACATGTTAACCTCACTGCCCTTTTTACTGTAAGTGGGTATGGTTTTACGTCGCTTTTGGTCCCGTAAAGATCCGGGATAGAATAGGTCTTCAGCAACCCATGCTTATCGTAAGAGGCAGTTAACGGGATCGGTTTGTCAGGCTCGCTGACTTGGTTGATGCATGTCATCCAATCCCAAGTGCGTGGGATCCCAAGATCCCAAGATCGTTGCTCATGATGTCAACCATTGGATTGTCTGGTCCAGACTCGATTATTTTACAGACCGCCGTCATATAGCTTGAATATTGCTGTGTGCGGCGTTAAACAACAAACAAACAAACAGACTCGATTATTTAAAGACCGTCGTCATATAGCTGGATTATTGCTGAATGAGGCGTTAAACAACAAACAAAACAAAACAAAACAAACAAACAAACAAACAAGTACCTCATTTTGGGGTCATATCTGATGAACCATTGGCTAGGACCCGGCTCTTTTTGCTAATAAGGACAATCATATGTATTTCAAAAGGACAGCAATAGACATATTTAAGTGAAGGGAGTTAACAAGATATACCCCCGTGCATATGTCTCCCGCATTCAACCATGGCATTACCTAGCACGCAATAACAATTTAATTTATGTATGACGAATATACGTGTTTCTACAGCGAATAGAATTTCGGTATTTTACAAGCATGTTCTACTGCTTCGCTGACTTTATGCTAATATGGCTGTGTGGTCACTGATTGGATGGTGAGATATTCGCGCACAGCTGAGAGACGCAAGGATTGGATGAGACGGGTATTAAGAGGCTCCGACGACGGATGCTAAATCACAGGTAAGCAGCTCATCAACAGCCAGGTAAGTGCAGGTGAAGTTGTATTGAACAGGGGATGAGCTCTGCCCACAGAGAAAGGGTGAAAACCTTTGAATTCTTTCACTTGGGCCAGATAGTCTATAAATCCGTGTTTGTAGAACCTATATGTTAATAATATTTAAGACAGCGATTGTGAAAAAAAATAACCTGAAACACAGTGCAAAGCATGTTTCATTTTCCACTATTTTTTATGTAGTCTTCATCCATAAATTATTTCATTTAGAGCTAAATGATTTTTTTTCACTTCTTCTTAAACATAGTTAAACTAATAGAATAATGTATTGTATCAGTGAAATGACTAGCTTCGACAAAAGATTAAAATCTAAACACTGGGAATGTTTTATAAATATAATAAGACATCTTTGAAACCAGTAACTTGTGATGTTTATCCTTGTTATTGGTCCGTGATGGTCGACAGTAATTCGACAAATATCGGTAAAACTTTTGGAGACAATCTTGTTTTTGATGTTGCTATTACATTATTTTTACTAGACATCTTTGAATTAACAGGCAGTGTCATAATCGTATCAATGAATAATGTTTCCTTTAATCAAATTATCAATTTTTTTATCGTTCTGTTCTCAAATAGAGGATACTAAATATATCCAGAAACTAAGATTTTAATGTTTTTTCCCTTAACAAAGTCTATACGGAAAGGTGAGGTGAAATGGGGTTTAACGTCGCGTCCAAGATTATTGCACTTAAATAGCGACGTGCATGTACGTGTGTGTGTTTGTGTGGCTGCTTGTACTAGTCCGGACTGATGCCGATTTATAGTGCTAGCTCACTGAGATACCATCCCACTCAGTCACAGTATACTGACTCCGAGCCGACCAGTCCTTGTTTTAGCCCCTTAATGCCGAGCGCCAGACAGGGTAACAACAAGTACCATACTTTAACGTCTTTTGGTATGACGCGCCTGGGGGCTTGGGATCGAACCCCGGACCTTCCGCTCTCCGGGCGGACGCTCTACCACTAGACCACGGAGGCGGGCCTATACGGAAAGAAACTGTAACCCTATCAACAACGGGATGCAAAGAGTGCCTGCTCACTGTTGTGGACGAAGACTTTAGAATTGACTTAACTTACATATTTTCAGAGGACATGTCCAAACTTTAATGATCCAAATTCGAGAAAAATTAAGGTGGGTCAAATCGTCACATCGGCAATATTTCAGCCATATCGTGAAAAAGTCGGTATATGAACACACGCGTGTGTAACTGTGTACAAAACATACTATTATTCCGAACAAAAATTCGAATTCCGAACCAATATTCGAAAAATGTACATATTATTTTAAACAGAGTACGAGGATTTTACATTTATAATATAGATCTAAACGCGAAAATTATCAGTAAGGTGACATCAACAATATAATTTATTTATATAAAATATATAACAGAAAACCTGACCGAAAGATGTCTACAAATATGTTTTAAAAACCCGTATTAACTTAATGTCGAGGCCCATTCGTCACCACTCGCCCCTTTCCGTAACCTGCAAGAAGAATAACACTGGTCGAGGCCTTGAAGTCCTTAATTTTACAACAGCCGTTTTCCCCTCAAGGGTTTTATCTTTATTAGGACCGCCTCCGTGGTCTAGTTGATAGGGTTTCTGCACAGAGATCGGAAGGTCGGGCGTTCGATCCCCGGCAGCGTCATACCAAAAGACGTTAAAAGGTGGTACTTGTTGTTACTCTTCGACTGGTCGGCTCGGAGTCAGTATACCGTGTCTGAGTGGGTTATTCATGTTAAACTGCGGTATGGTATCACAGTGGACTGGTACTATTAAACCGGCAATAACCCAGACTAGTACAAGCAGACAAGCACGCCTCATCTTGTCTTCACAGGCACTCATCCCTTGCACAATCGCAATAATGATGCAATAATTTAAATATTATCAGTTCATGAAACTTGGTATCGATTGGTAACGAGGACAGGTATCATTCATTCCACATATGCCTGACATACCAACAAATCTATGACTGGAAGAAAAACACAGTATACGTACTGTACAATTGTCTGCATTCCTGATGCATTGAGGGGCGGTCGGGTAGCCTAGTGGTTAAAGCGTTCGCTCATCACGCCGAAGACCCGGGTTCGATTCCCGACATGGGTATAAAGTGTGAAGCCCATTTCTGGTGTCCCCCGCCATGATATTGCTGGAATATTGCTAAAAGCGGCGTAAAACCATTCTCACTCACCCACTCACTCTAATGCATTGATAATAATTCAAGTGATTATTTTGCAGGTATTTTAAAATTCAAATCAGTATCAAAAGTGCAACGAAAGTCAATTTATGCTGTCAAATATGTAGGTAAATATAAGCGTTAAAAACATTTCTATAAATTTCTAAGAAATCTGAACTAAAAGCTTTTTCCTTTGTACGATTCCGACTATATCATGAACATGTGTTAATGATTCAGTTATCAAATAGTGAGGATACTATTTGTTCGCGAAAAGGTGAGTGTATCCTTCCCCACCGGTAGATCTACATTGAAAACACCGCATGTTTCTCTCCTAATTATGCGTACAATGACCTGTACTTCCCTTTAGGACCCGTGAAGATCCGGGGTAGAACAGGTCTTCAGCAACCCATGCTTGTCGTAAGAGGCGACTCACGGGATCGGGTGGTCAGGCTCGCTGACTTGGTTGATGCATGTCATCGTATCCCAATTGCGTGGATCAATGCTCATGATATCAATCACTGGATAGTCTGGTCCAGACACGATTATTTAGAGACTGCCGCCATAAAGCTGGAATATTGCTGAGTGCGGCGTTAAACAACCAACCAACCAACCAACCAACCAACCAACTTCCCTTTCGTTTGTAACTTATTTAAGTGCTGTAACACCTACAGGTGAATCCGCCCACATTGAGAACACAGTATGTTTATCTCCTTACCACATGTACAATGGCATGTACATACTTAAGATGGAGCTAAATATATGTTTATTGAACGCATGAATATGCCTGATTTCATGTTTGCCTTTGCTATTATAATGTACAGATTAAAATTTAAAATGCAGCAAAGAGGGTTTAGGGTGATCCTGGCACAGTAAGACTGGTTACGCTCATCATCAGCTCAGGGCCCTTGCCCCCTCTACACGCAGCCCATTTATGATTATGATTATGATTATGATTATGCTGAAGCTGATGATGATGATGATGATGATTATTATTATTATTATTATTATTATTAAATCAATCTTCACCTTGATGTTTCACAGTTGACAATCAAGCCCCCTGTTATCATGGCTGCTTCCACCTACATCCTTGGGTTGTACATTCTGTATGGTGAGTGTCTGCCTGGGATTATTATTTTAAATATACTGTATACACTAAAGTAAATGATTTTGCAGTTTACTCCAAACCTAAGATTCATACATGGGGTACAGTTGTGTCTTGCCTTGTGATGACCAAATCATATACGCGTCATACATGGGGCACAAGTTTGTTGTTCTTGTGATGACCAAATCATAAACGCGTCATACATTGGGCACATGTTTGTCATTCTTGTGATGACCAAATCATATACGCGTCATACATGGGGCACAATTTTGTCATTCTTGTGATGACCAAATCATAAACGCGTCATACATGGGGCACAATTTTGTCATTCTTGTGATGACCAAATCATAAACGCGTCATACATTGGGCACAAGTTTGTCGTTCTTGTGATGACCAAATCATATTCTCGTCTGAAAGGGGTACAATTTTGTCGTTCTTGTGAAGACCACATCATATACGCGTCATACATGGGTCACAATTTTGTCGTTCTTGTGAAGACCAAATCATGTGCTCGTCATACAGGGGGCACAACTTTGTCTTTCTTGTGATGACCAAATCGTGTAAGTGTTAAAGACGGACGGTCTCGTGAAATTTTTTGCCCCAAACATACCTTTTTTTTAAAACTAGTTGAAAAAATTTTTTGCCTCAGGTTTTACCCTAAATATGAATGGGCATGTACCACAAATGATATGCAGTACACGACGTTCATGTATATGCGATGGATCATTCTCTGTCTTCACGTGGCACGTTTTGGAGGGTCATTAAGAGTCAATGGTTTGTTTCAGGACTGATTTCCGGTGCATCATCACAGATAATGATCTTACCCGGTAAGAAGACCGGAGCGTTGTGCCATGTGTCATCAAGTTTTGAAGACTATTTTTCAGAACAAGATCAGAGTGGTGGATTTTCGTGTTTCGGATCGGCCACAGAATGGCTATATCAGAAAAAGACTGGCATTCAGAAGTTGACCATTATGATTATATCAAACAATATCTTCTGGGCATTAATACCTTGTTTTATCATAATCCAACGTTGAATGGCGGCTTTAACATTACAGGATACAAATCTTGCCAATCGCAGTTTGAGAGTGTTCTCTGGTGCAAAATATATATTTTTTTGCATTCCGTACAATCCATTAAAGACCCGTGAACATCCGGGTTAGAACGGATGTTAGGCAACCCATGCTTGTCGTAAGAGGCGACTAATGGGATCGGATGGACAGGCTCGCTGACTAGGTTGATGCATGTCATATCATCACAATTACGTAGATCAATGCATGTGACGTCCATCAATGGATTGTCTGGTCGTGATCGCCGTCATATAGATGGAATATTGCTGAATGTGGCGTTAAACAACAAACAAAACAATGAATTAGTGTTGAGGCCTTGCTTCCGTTTTTGTAGACACAAGGCATGGCGACAAAACAGTCAGCCCGGGAATTGCATACGAGACCACAGGTTACGTGGTAGTCACTGTCCGGCTTGATGCTCCGACGGCCTCTGGATTGGGGTTCAAAGTAAGTATCACAGAAGAAAGGCTTTTCTTAGTCACACGTTGATGCAGATAAAGACCACGTTAAACGATGGCGTCGCCACCGTAATATTTCCAATCACATGACCAGACTATCAAGGAATCTCAGTATTTGCGAATTTACAGTCAGATAACCTCAGTATTTGTGAACCTACAGTCAGATAACCTCAGTATTTGTGAACTGATAACCTCAGAATCAGTGAACCTACAATCAGATGCCCTTGAAATTAATGAACCTTTTTATCGTATATCCCCCATAAGGAAGCTAGAGTCTGATAACTTTCGTATCTGCGAACCTATGGTCAGATATCCTGAGAATTAGTCAACCTATTTATTGAACATAACCTGTAAGAAAGTTTCATTCAGATAACCAAAGCATTTGTGAATTTGAAGTCAAACATATTTCGTATAAGTGAACATTTAGTCAGATATTCCCCGTAGTGGGCATTTTGACAAGATTTTCAATATAGAATATCTTCGACACTAGAACTATTTCTGATGAATTGACAAGTTTGTTTTGTGTCATATTGATTTAACAACACTCACGTAAGAATCCATTCACGTACTTCGCTCAGGGAATATACAACAAATGACTCTTTTCTTAAAATCAGTATGGTAGACACTATTTAACTGTTCCTACATCCAAACACTCAGGGCATAACCATAGTGTGATATTATATGTGTTAGAGTGATCGTGGAGTGTTGTGACCAATCAACTTGTGATATCATGGTGAAGTGCCTATTGTGAAAAGGACTCGATAAATGCAATGACAATGTCTGTTTCAGTATAGCACTTTTCCGAATGGTGCAAGCTGGGATGACTTTGAGCGCTTTGAATACATGCCCATCAGTATCCCCGTTGGGGGTGATCACGTCAATTTTACCATCGGCATAACGCAGGACAAGGTGAGTAAGCATCACTCAGAGAAATTAATACTGCAGTGTATCCTTGATCGACATGAATACATAACACTGCTCGCATACTGCAGTGGAAATATTTATTGATCTTGCGGATCGAAGAAACATTTGTTCTCTATCTTTGGCAGAAAAATGAGACGCACGATGTCATCAAACTGAGGTTAACTGACTTCTCCGACTCGTCTGGTGCATTCGAGCATTTCATTCATATCGCAGACAATGACGGTACTTTAATCAATTATTCCATTTGTTTGGTTGTTTGATTGTTGTTGTTTAGCACCACATTCAGCAAAATTCCATCTATATGACGGCGGTAAATAATCGAGTCTGTATCAAACAATCCAGTTATTATTGACATCACCCTGCCCTGCCCTGCCCTGCCCTGCCCTGCCCTGCGAGTGTTATATACAGTCAATACTGTTATATGCAGACGAGTGTTATATTTAGTCAATACTGTTATATTCAGACGAGTGTTATATACCGTCAACACTGTTATATTCAGAAGAGTGTTATATACCGTCAACACTTATATTCAGACGAGTGTTATATGCCGTCAACACTGTTATATACATACGAGTGTTATATTCAGACGAATGTTATATACCGTCAACACCGTTATATACCGACAACGGTTTCTCTACAGACTAAGTGTTGTCTACAGCCTGCATGTTACAAACGTTGTGCATATGTTGTAGATATCACCATATGTACAGGGGAGCGGTCGTTCAGGGAAAATGACGGCCTAGCCAGAGTTCGACTTTCTCGGCCTGAGGAGAAATCTGACGGCATCCTCACGGCGTTTGTCAGCACAAGGACACTTCCTGGCCAGGCTAAAGAGAACGAAGATTTTATACCCATCACAAATGACAGGGTGGTGTTTGCAAAAAATGAAAGGTTCAAGGACATCGAGATCACTTTGATCGATAATTTTGTAAGTTTCATTTTATGTCTAACTGATAACACAAAACCCTTAAGTAGTATGTTTACTGACTAGCTATTGGTTTTGTATCCTCCTCCAATAAATGCATTTTCCATAAGCTCTTTAAATGATATTAAAACAGAATTGTATTATTGATTGAACCTGGGAGACAAATAACATGCATAGAAATATGAATATATATGAATAATGTAACATATATGCAACTGATCATGAGGATGATTTCGATTTCATTTTATAAATATGACTATTAGTATTTAAAACAGCAAATATGTAGATCTTTGAAATTAAGGCATTTAGGAGTGATACACATAAGGAAGTAAATATATGGAAGTCAACTTCTTTATTATGAGGAACACAACGTTTCGGAGTATATGTTTACTCCTTCATCAGGTGAATGAATGTCTTACTTACTTAAATTGGGAATTTAACGTGCGCTTTCCGACATATGCGTATTTCGCGCACGGGCCCGCCAGGCCATTTGGTGTTTGGTCGAAAAGGGTATGTCCGAAATGGTGAGGCAACCTAAGTGGGGCTTTTTAGGGTTGCTTAGTTTATTTGGAGAACAAATTTGGAATTTTGAAATATGCCATGCAAAAGGTGGAGAGGGGGGCAGGGGGGGTGACTAAAGGGAGTTTGTGTGTTTTTTAGGTTTAGAATTTTAGGGTTTATTGGCAGCTTGTTTCTTGTACTTTTACTTTTAAATGCGGCCAAGTGAGCCTGTTTTGATTAGATATATGCTTAGTGCTTTAAAGGTTTGTAAGTCATTTAGGGGGTTTAGTTACCGTTGCTAGCGTAATTTGATTGTTGCAATTTAGTGTGGATTGGAGTGTTGGTGCTGGTAATGTGTGCAAAATAGTATAATGTGTTCAGGCGTTTCTTTTAAGTTGCACTGGGGGAATTTACCGGTTTTGGGGGGTTTTTTTTAATTTGGCGTAGGTGGGAGTTTAACTTAGTGTGGCCTGTTTGTAGGTTAGTTATTATACTGTCTATTTTTGTGGTTTTATTATGGATTTTTTTGTTTTTTGAGTGGCTTTTGTAGCAAGTATTTTAGTTTGCAATCAGATTTCTGATAGTTATTTTGCCAATTTTGGAAGATTTTCTCCTTTATGATACTTTTAATTTTGTTTTTTGATATGGTAGGTTGATGCTTACTTCTTCTAATTTTTGTGCTGATTTGGCTGCTTCAGCACTATGATTAGAAGAAGTAATGAATGTATGAATAAGTAATGAATGGATGCCATGAGGCAGAGAGCATATATATGCACATGTATGGACCACAAAATTAATAGGATAACAAAAAGTGGAAAATAACAAAGGTTAGAAACGAACAAGGAAGCCAGCAGATGATTGGCGCTGATAGGTGATAAGCAATAAACAATGGAAGCAAACAACAGTAATTAGCGCTGATAGTAAGGAAGCCAGTACTTAAGTTATCAAAGAAAAGTAAAAGGCAGTGGACACTGGGCAAACGGGGGACCGGGGGTAATTAGCACTGACAGGTGAAAGAATGGACACAGCAAAGGGCAAATTGAAGCCAGCTAGGTAATTAGCACCGACAAAGATCAAAGCAATAAGTCCCAAGCACAAGGCAGGTTCCCTGGTCACGGTTCATGGCTGGCTCGTGTCTCCTGATGTCAATGGCTTCTTGTAGTTTTCTATGTCGCCAGTTGTTGTTGTTGGTGATAGACAGGACTTTGGTGGCTTCCTACGTGATGTTTCGGTTTTGGTTCTGGTTATGGTTTGGTAAGTCGACATCTTAGGTTGTACCAATTGTTTAACTATCCGCTCCAAATGTCCCTACAGTCTAAGGTTTCCGCTAGGTAAATAGATAAGTAACGAGATACCTTCATTACTTCTGGGTCTTTTATTTGCCGCAATCTTTTAGTCGGACTCAAGGTTCGCCATGGTAAAGTTGATCAATTGTGTTTCTACACCTACCTGTGCTCGTGGATTTCACTGATAAGGGTTCCTCACTAGTCTTGTTGTTGCTGTATTTCTTAAACGCCACACTCAGCAATATTCCAGCTAGATGACTCCGGTCTCTAAATAAGCAAGTCTGGACCAGACAATCCAGTGATTGACACCATGTGTATCGATCTATGCAATTACATCTCCAACAGTAGGCTGACATGTCGTGGAAAGCGGGGCTTACCATCATTTGACAGCGTTGTTCAGATGTGGTTTAAAATTACTGACTCACACCAGATTTTACCCAAGCATCTTTTAGTCATGTGTTGTATTTATTCCTGCTTCAGAAAAGAGAAAACGACTCAGAACTGTTTCAAGTGCTGGTGACCGGCGATGGACTTGTCACCTGCACAACCGATGTGCTCATTTATGACGACGACAGTACGTTCCTTGCTTATCTCGAATTGATTACTGTGTGTCTCGTTATATGTTTAAGAGAACCGTGAAGATACGGGGTAGAATACGTCTTCAGCAACCCATTCTTGTCGTAAAAGGCGACCATTCTTGTCGTAAGAGGCGACTAACGGGATCGGGTGATCAGGCTCGCTGACTTGGTTGATGCATGTCATCGTATCTTAATTGCGTGGATCGATGTTCATGATGTCAATCACTGGATTGTCTGGTCCAGACTTGATTATTTACAGACCGCCGTCACATAGCTGGAATATTGTCGCGTGCGGCGTTAAACCACAAACAAATACATATATATTTAAGTGAGTGAGTGAGTGAACTGGGTTTAATGCCGCTTTTAACAGTATTCCAGTTATATCACGGCGTGTCAGCTTAATGTGGGAGGAAAGCCCGAAGTGATGCATGTCTCAGACGTTTACCAGTGAAACCCACGAGCACGGGTATGGTGCTGACAAACCTATAAACATAATCGTTGCTAACCGGGATTTGAATATAATATTTAAGAGTATATACGTGTACATAAGTGTTTTCATTTAAAGGGGTACTTAACAGTTGAAATACAAGCATTTGAAAAGTATTTGATGCCAAAGATGTGTATAATCATAGAAATCTTTATCTCAATTCATACAATACCATACCCAAACTAAATCACTGCTGCTAGCCCTCCGCTACCCCTGTCCTGCCCTGTCCTATCGTATGCTTCCATACTATATCAAACTAACCTACGCCACCCTACCCCAACCCACTCTTCTCTAACCCTAATCCGAAACCATACCATACCATACCATACCATACCATACCATACCATACCATACCATACCATACCATACCATACCATACCATACCATACCATACCATACCAAACCATACCATAAACCAACCCTACCCTACACAACCCTACGCTATCAGACCCAGACTTTTCCCTACCAACCCTATCCTACCCTACCCTATACAGCCCTGACCTACCCTACACAACCCTACCCTACACTAACCTTTTATTACCCTACCCTTACCTACCCACCTCAATCCCAACCCTATCCTACCCTGACCCATCCTTACCCTACCAACCCTTTCCTATCCTACCCTATAAAACCTATAAAACCCTGACCTACCCACCACAACCCTACCCTACACAACCCTACCCTACACTAACCTTTCATTACCCTACCCTTACCTACCCACCTCAATCCCAAACCTATCCTACCCTGACCCATCCTTACCCTACACAACCCTACCATACACAACCCTACCTTACACTAACCTTTCATTAACCCTACCCTTACCTACCCACCTCAATCCCAACCCTATCCTACCCTGACCCATTCTTACCCTACCTAACCTTTCCCTGCCCCGACTCCAATCCCTACAATACCAATCCACCATTTTAGGAACCACATAGTTCTAAACAAATGCCCTCTCTGTGTTTGGGTGCTGCATACGTTTACATGGATGTATGAATATTTCAGTTCCGGATCCCTTTGACTGTAGAAGAGGTATAAGCCAGCCTTGCAAGTACAGTGGAACGTGTAACGCGACGAACGGGGCATGTGTGTGTCCGTCTGGCTACGTAGGGGCTGACTGCAGCAGGCCCATACGTAAGTCAGATCCTAGTTAGTGACCGCATTTAGTGACCGGGATTAGGCCGCATTTCAGTATTTCACTTACATCACAGCGTTTCAGCTTTATAATGCAGGTGAGCCTGAAGTGACGTTTATCAGTTCTGGTGGAACCTGATTAGATTAACCATTCAACACACAACTATATGCATTTTAAAAAATTGTACTTGTCACTTATACAGGAAAGGTACATACAATTGACAGAAATCATTTCCAAAATAAAAACAAATTGCTGCTAAAAGCCAAGAACATTGTACGATTCCGACTATAAGCACGGATTTGTGAATCACTTTCAAATAGTGATGATACCAGGTGTTTGCGAAAAGGAGAGCGATTTTACGTTGATAACAAGGTGCATTTATCACAAAGAGATGTCAATGGCAGTGGTTTAGAAATACATTCAAGGATACATGTTATAATGCATGTTATTCAAATGTCTTTTCAGCGCGCATTAATGGAATAGGCTGTGACGGACGATGCAGTCCCGGCGGTGTGTGTATGTCTGACAACGTTGGTGGGGGCAAGGAAACTATCACCTGCAACTGCCACCCCGGGTGGACTGGAGCCTACTGCAACGGAACCTCGTGTAAGTACTAACTATATCACACAGCTGCCACCGCGGGTGGACTGGAGCACTACTGCAACGAACACTCGTGTAAGTACTAACTAAATCACACAAAAAGCCACCCCGGGTGGACTGGGTCCTACAGCAACGAACACTCGTGTCAATACTAATTACTAGTATATCACACCAGTCATACAGGACAGCAACAGTGTTGATGACATGCTGCTTAACGACCTGATTGGAGTTCATGTGTTGCAGTCTTCTGTCTAAACTACCACCTGTGTAAGAACAGCTACATCTTCCCGAAGCAAGGGAGTTAACTGACTCTAAAAGTCCGGTTTCCACGAGATATGTCCCTTCTTTGTCCCTTCCTATTGCCCAATCAGATTCCACCTCTCGTATCACTTGCATTTGCTCAAACAGTCAAGGCGATCTGATTGATTATCAAGACAGATATTGAAATAAAACGGGTCTTTCTTCGCGAAGTGCATCAATTCAAATGTGAGCACCTTGATTAAAAACATGAAAAGATTTGCAAAAATATCTGTCGACGCCCAGTTGACGTTACACGTCTTTTGCAAATTCTGCAGTCGACCGAAATCTGCAGGATTGAAACGATGTTGTTTATGAACCGGATGTCTCGTTCGTTACGAGATATTGATTGGACTTTGCATAGACTTGTTAGTCCAGCCAAAATATAACTCCATAATTGCAGCCTAGTTCGGCAAGGGTGGAAACAAGTCAGTTAACTTCCTTTCATCTGCAAGATTGGACAGCTATGACGAGTACGATATACTGAATACCAAGATATAAGATGTTACATTCTTCTATCTAGACTACCACCAGTGTAACCAGAACAGCTTCAGCGTCTGCATCACCCCCTACAGCTTCGCCGACTTTGCCGGAAGCGTCCACGTCCGGGGCAACGCCACTGTCGGCGGCTGCTACCTCCAGCGAGCTCCGTCCCCTGCTAACACGGGTGACAAGATCCCTGACTGGTGCAAAGGCTATGCAGCCACGTTCCCATTCAAGGGAGGGCCCTGTCAGAACTTTGGACCTTCCAATAACGTATGTTCAATCGTTTATAACATAATAGATAGTGCTGTCGATGCGATAATCTGATCCGATTAACTTGGTATCGCGATCCGATAAATATGCAAATGAGATCGCCTTACTTGAACTACTTTAAATAAGATACATATATACATGTGATAACTGCCTGATCAAAAAACTATTGCCTGACGCCCCCATTAAGGTTAAATAGGTTTAGATGCGTGAGGGCTTCTGTTACAAAACGTGGCTTCAGATCATTTGGCTCTATATTATGAATGGAACAGTTCATCCTGGTCCTGTATTCATACGAGATCTCTAAAGTTAGTAAAGGTTGAAAACTTCAATTATTTTGAGTATTTTGCAATAAAGACAGAATACGATAAAGTCATTGTTATCCTTGTGTCTTTCCGTATCGTACATATTATTTATTGGGAATAAAATATATATTTTGATCACAAGGCTCAAAGTTCTTTTGGGACGGTGGGGTATTGCTGGAATATTGCCTCATCGCTTGTGTAACGTTTCACACGTTTTAATACAGTTAATTTATATTTTGACTTCCAAGGGAGGAAACAAGACGTACGTTCTTCAGCTTATCGTGCAGTATACGAATGGCACCCTCAACCGCCTAGACGAGCTCGTCACCTTCACCTGCCAGTTCGACAACTCCTCTTTGCTCGTCTACAGCAATGCAGTGGAGACCAACCCATCCGAGTAGGTTCCCATGCCTGCTGATTCTATATGTACTCAGCCACAAAAGTACCTGTTATTTAAGCATACTCAGATGAGACCAACTGAAAAAAAATATTTTCAAATTTTAAAAATAACTAAGTTGACCATATGACACAAAAAGTCCACGCGCATACATTTAAGCTGGCCGAAGTATGGCCAAATAGTTTTGAGATCCTTAGGGTATTACCCCCGTGACTGCATACTAGAAACTGCTAATTTGACCTATTTCAATGGATTCATCTCGGTACCTCCGACACGACCCTAATTCCAAAACTTTTTCTTGTAACCCTCTGTTGTCCTAAGTGTGTGCGTATTGGGTTCAAAGGGAAAGTCAAGCTCTAATTGCATTGTCCTTTCAAATTGCTGTCCACCTCTAACAGGGGACTAAGGAGAAACATGCACGTCACCATAACGTGTAGATACACAAATTGCGAGCCAATTAAGATATTTGTAAAACATTTATTTAATTAAAAAATCAGTCCATTACGACATCAGTATATTTCGAACCTTCAGATAAAAAGAGTTTTGATATGTGTTCAAAAATGTTTTAATATGATATAACATTGAGGGTGTCAGCACATAGAGAATGTGCAACCAAGCCATCCACTTAAACTACCGTATTCGACGTAATAAGCGCCCACGGCGACATTTGGCTAATATATTGGAACAATCCCAATTAGCACCCCTTCCGATTGATCAATGTACACAAGACTTATTTATTCCTGTATAATAAATTATAATATAATGCATCCATAATTATGGGAAATCAGATTCTGGAAAAATATATCTGTCGTATATAAACATTTCAGGCTGTCATCATAAACCACGAAATTTACGATCTTTCAACTCTGTTGTTTTTCACCAAAATAATATTCTGGTTTTAAGAGCGCCCTGGGCGCTTATTATGTCGAATACGGTAATATGCGTGTCAAAAGAACAGTGTGATGATAATGAATACATGGCTGTTTCCCAGGACGGCTCTGGGGAAACAGGGATCCTCCTTGATTTTCAATCCCGTCACGATGACAGTCACCAGATCGAACGGGGCGGCTATCACATCAGTCCTGCAGCTTGACGAGATCATCCAAGTGTGTATTGCAGTCCCATGTGAGTTGCTTGCTGTAATGGATAAACTATAGACTAACATCTAGTCTCTGAAATGAACATGTCGTACAGAAAAAAAACAGTTGTTCAATTATCTTAATAAAAATATAATAAAAGGGAGCCCAGAGACTATCTTCATTTTCTGATACTGCAGTAATGTAGACTTGCCAAACATTATAGACTTGCATGGGCTGTATTTGATATATATTTGTATCAGGGTCTGTAAGACAGACCAGGATCAACTCCATCAACAGATGGATCATGTAGGAAACACGTTAATATTATTTAAAGCATGTTGCGATAATCAGGTTAATGGGTGGTTAGAGAAGCCGAAAGGCAGATAGATTGATAAAGGATCTTATCATAGATGAAGGCTAGATGGAAGGGTGATAAGATGGGATGATGATGGATTAATGAATCATGTTTGGAAACCAGGATAGATGATTGATGAATAGATAGATGTGTGGATCTCTTTTAGGAAACTGGATATATGATTGGTGAATGGACAGATGTGTGAATCTCCTTTAGGAAACCGGGTAGATCATTGGTGAATAGATAGATGTGTGGATCACCTTTAGGAAACTGGATAGATGATTGATGAATAGATAGATGTGTGGATCTCTTTTAGGAAACTGGAAAGATGATTGATAAATAGATAGATGTGTGGATCTCCTTTGGGAAACCGGATAGATGATTGGTGAATAGATAGATGTGTGGATCACCTTTAGGAATCTGGATAGATGATTGATAAATAGATAGATGTGTGGATCTCCTTTAGGAATCTGGATAGATGATTGGTGAATAGATAGATGTGTGGATCACCTTTAGGAAACTGGATAGATGATTGATGAATAGATAGATGTGTGGATCACCTTTAGGAATCTGGATAGATGATTGATAAATAGATAGATGTGTGGATCTCCTTTGGGAAACCGGATAGATGATTGGTGAATAGATAGATGTGTTGATCTCTTTTAGGAAACTGGAAAGATGATTGATGAATAGATAGATGTGTTGATCTCCTTTAGGAAACCGGGTAGATCAGTGGTGAATAGATAGATGGGTGGATCTCTTTTAGGAAACTGGATAGATGATTGGTGATAAGATAGATGTGTGGATCTCCTTTGGGAAACTGGATAGATGATTGATGAATTGACAGATGTGCACCATTATGAGAAAAGTGGATAAATAATTGATGAATGAATAATGTATTTGTGGGAGATCTTTGGAATAAAAGCGACAAAACCCTTTCGATATTCATAAAAAATCTCAGCCAAAAGCAGAGTCGCTTCTATTATTCCGACTATTTCATAAGCATGTGTTTATGAATCACTACCAAATAGAGATGATAGTCATGAAACCAGGTGTTCGCGAAAAGGTGAGCGATAACTGGATAGATGGTTGATGAATTGATGATGGATTTGTGGATGATGTTTCAAAACTTGATAGATAATTTGTGACTGATCTTGGAAAACTTGATATATATATATGGATGATGGTTGGAAAACTGCGCAGATGGATTTGTGGATAATCATTTGAAATCAGGATAATGGTTGTTGAGTGGGCATATGTGTAGGTGATGGTTGGGAAAATGAGAAGATGATTGGTCGATGGTTGATGATAGATTTGTGGATGATGGTTGGAAAACTGGATAGATGATTGATGTATGGATAGAAATGTGGATGATGGTTGGAAAACTGGATAGATGATTGATGTATGAATAGAAATATGGATTATGGTTGGAAAACTGGATAGATGATTGATGTATGGATAGAAATGTGGATTATGGTTGGAACACTGGATAGATGATTGATGTATTGATAGAAATATGGATTATGGTTGGAAAACTGGATGGATGATTGATGTATGGATAAAATGTGGATTATGGTTGGTAAACTGGATGGATGATTGATGTATGGATAGAAATGTGGATTATGGTTGGAAAACGTGATAGATGATTGATGTATGGATAGAAATGTGGATTATGGTTGGAAAACTGGATGGATGATTGATGTATGGATAGAAATGTGGATTATGGTTGGAAAACTGGATAGATGATTGTTGAAAGGATGATAGGCATGTATCTACTAATTGGATTGAGAAGTGAACCGATTCCGGATAATGGATGGATGGGAGGTGAATATATTATGGCTGATAGATTTTGATGATAAATAAATGGAAAGTTGATGAGTGGATGACTGGTGGAAGATTAATAGTGAGTGAGTGAGCATAGTTTCACGCCGCTCTTAGCAATATTCCAGCAATATCACGACAGGGGACACCTGAAATGGGCTTCACACATTGTACCCATGTCGGGAGTCGAACCTGGAATCGACGTGACGAGCGAAGGCTTCAACCACTGGCTACCCGAGCGCCCCTCGGAAGATAAATAGATGATAACTGGATGTGTAGATAGATTTATGGATTGACAAATGGCTAAATCATTGATAGATAGTTGGCTAGCTAGATATATAGATGATGGATTATCGCTATAATAATTCATGAATATACATATGGATAGGTAAATGGATAAATGATTGGATAGGTTAATGGATAGATGATTGAATAGGTAAATGGATAGGAATTGGATAGGTAAATGGATAGGGATTGAATAGGTAAATGGATAGAGGATTTTATAGGTAAATGGATAGATGATGAATGGCAATAGTTATTGATATGAGATATGACCCTCTAGTTTCTTCTCTCCAGCAAGTGACTGGGGCTGCGTGCTGACTCACCAGATCATGGTCAACAACACGCTGTCAGGCGGGGACGCTGTGTCATGGATGGTGTATGATGAAGGGTAAGAGCAATACGATTGGCCTCATCAAACCAAGCTTATATCAGCTGACTTCAGAGCTACATGGCAATATATCAAGCAATAATTATAAACGCACAGTATTACTCATGCTAAATCCCTTCCTTATTAATCCGTCTGTTGCCGAATGATTTCTTCACTGACACATAAACACATACTAGAACAACACACTATTGCTAAAAGTGAGTTGGTGAGTGAGATTGGTTTATCGCCGGTTTCAAACAGTTATATATAATTAATAATTATTCAGTTATACCAAGGCGTGTCAGCTTGATGTAGGAGGTATCCCGAATGTGATGCCGGTTTCAAACGGAAACCCACGAGCACGGGCATGGTGCTAATAAACCAAGAAACATTAAAAAAAGGCGAATATGCACCATCTGTTGTTTTATCCCCACTAGTTGCCACTAGTAACACAAATATCTTCAACGAGCACCTAAACTCACCTCACTCAAATAATACAGGTATCGTGTCAAATCAAGGACTAGCCATGACTTTCATATGAGTGAGTGAGTGAGTTGGGCTTAACGCCGCTTTTAACAGTATTCCAGTTATATCACGGCGTGTCAGTTTAATGTGGGAGGAAAGCCAGAAGTGATGCTAGTCTCGGACGTTTACCACTTCGGTTAAACCCACGAGCACAAACTTAGAAACACAACTGACACGAACCGGGATTCGAACGCACAATCATAGGTTTCTGGCGTGCCCAAGGGACGCAACTCTGCACAGCGAATCGCAGCTACTTAGACGATTGGGAATAAATAATTAGTCATACTTTTTATGAAAATTGTATGAATGGCGGGCGTTACCGGTAGGGCAGGACATGCTTATCCTCTTCGCGAACACCTGGTGTCATCACGATTTCCAGTGGTCTATTCATGAAATTTCCACAGCTATTTGCCCTTTACGCCAAGTGGAATCTGTTTCGGCAGAAAATCTAGGCTGGTTATTCTCTTGCATTATCAATATATATTTACCTTTGACCACTGTCTAAAAAGCACTGTGTATTCAAAGCTCTACCAATGTTACAGATGTATCGTCCCTCAGTACAGTGGGGTTGTGGTTGAAAAACCAATCTTCCCTGCGACATCGACTAGAGCCTGTTTCAAGCTTCGTATGACGTCAGTTGGCAGTGTAACCACTTCACACATGGGCATCGTCGTTAAAGCGTCCGTATCTAATGGAGCATGTTCCGGTGTGAGTAGAAGATAGTCATCGAGCGATGTTAAAAGGCTTAACGTCATGAAGTGACACGTGGTCTGTAGGCGTCTTTCACCTTTGCTATTTGGAATTAATTTGATTCTGTTCAGAACTGCCCTAAATTCTTTGTTTGTTGAATGTGGTCGATGCAACAATAACTCGTTAATATGTAGAAAGTATCATTATTGCCACAGCCAAGACAAAGTTGATGAATTGTTTGATAGGCATTACTTAGAAGTTGACGGATGACAAGGTAGACACAATTTTATGGATGACAACTTCTTTATGGATGACAACTTCTTTAATACTGTAAAAAGCGACGTTTCGGTATAGACCCTATACCGTTGTCAAGCAATGTATTAGCTCTAGAATTGACACAGTTATCCAAGTAGGATTTATCGTCTAAGGAACCATAACCGAGCTAATGAGCCATTCGCAGTTTCACTGTGCTAGAATTTGTACTTAGACATGCATGGCTTAATCTTTGAGACATAATATAATTACTGGCAGGATCAACCAGACTGCTTGCTTGACAACAGTATAATGATCTATAACGAAATTTCGCTTTTTACAGCATTAAAGAAGTTGTTATCCATAAAATTGTGTCTACCTTGAAAGCTGATAAAGTTCACTACATATGAGTGACCCCGTGGAGATTCCCAGTTAGAATAAGTCCCCACTACCTATGATGGTCGAAGAGGTGACCAAATGGATCGGGTGGTCAGACTCGGTGATTTTGATAGCGTGTCATAAACCCCGACGTCGTGGATCGTTGTTAACAAATCAATCACTTGATGATCTGGTCCAGACTTGATTATTTACAGGCCGCCATCACATAGCTGGAGTATTGCTGAGTGCGGTGTAGGACAACAAACAAACACAACCTATTGGTGTGGTTTAGTGGTAGTTTATTCAGATGTAATATTGGCCATATGCCCAGTTACTCATCATGAAGTTTGTTTGTTGTTTAACGCCGCACTCAGCAGCGTTCCAGCTACATGACGGCGGTCTGTAAATAATTGAGTCTGGACCAGACAATCAACTGATTGTTAACGCTCGAGTGCGGTGTTAGACAACAAATAAACAAACAAAAAACATCGAATAACCATTTATTGTTTGTTTCATTTTAGCCACCATCTGGTGGCAATGTGGGGAATGAATGCACAATGCCTTTTAGAAAGTGGTCTAATGTAACAATGTTATATATGTTATATATTGTTATATTAGTAAATTATAACACAGTAATATAGTAATATTATTTTGGGGGTTGAGTCCCATCCTGAGAGTGTGGCACCTAATCGCCAGCACACTATGTCAGCGATCTAACCCACTCACCCTTCCAGGTTTTAACAAAAATGGAAGTCTAGATCACATACATATGTACTTTGTGTGCCCCTCTGTGTAAACAAGTGCCTCACTCTGGGAGTGTGGTTTCGAATACCCAAAATAGTACTAGAATTTGTGCTTTACACAGAAAGCGTAATTCCCAAAATAACAATGTCGATAATGTTTTCAAGATATTGGGTCATACTTATACAACTGTTAACCGTCACTATAAGAGTGAGACGAGCAGCTTCCTTATCTTGCAGCTATCGTGTTCAACTGGATTTAGTTTGATCAAAGAGGAATTCTCCACTAAGAGAAAACGTCGTGCGGCACAGGACACTCTAGTGGGATACGTCATCGCCTTTGACGGCAACCCCAATCTCCAGGGTACACATCCGGGCTCTCCAAGTCAAGGAAACAGTGGTGACGTTCAGACAGGTGAGAGCAGGTCGCAATACCTGTGTAGGTGCGATGGAGTGAGTGAATGAGTGAGTGTGGTTTTACACCGCTTTTAGCAATATTTCAGCAATATCACGGCGGGGGACACAATAAATGGGCTTCACACATTGTACCCATGTCGGGATTCGAATCTGGGTCTTCAGCGTGACGAGCGAACGCTTTAACCTTTGGCTACCCGACCGAAAGGGGCGATGGAAGTGAGACAGAAGTTGTTGTAGTGATGTGATTGTTTAACTCTAGATGTTGTAGTGTTGTGAATAAGTGAAACAGAAGTGGTTGTAGTGATGTGATTGTTTAACTCTAGAGGTTGTAGTGTTGTGAATATGTGAGACAGAAGTGGTTGTAGTGAAGTGATTGTTTAACTCTAGAGGTTGTAGTGTTGTGAATATGTGAGACAGAAGTTGTTGTAGTGATGTGATTGTTTAACTCTAGAGGTTGTAGTGTTGTGAATAAGAGAAACAGAAGTGGTTGTAGTGATGTGATTGTTTAACTCTAGAGGTTGTAGTGTTGTGAATAAGTGAAACAGAAGTGGTTGTAGTGATGTGATTGTTTAAATACAGAGGTTGTAGTGTTGTGATTGTTTAACTCTAGAGGATGTAGTGTTGTGAATAAGTGAAACAGAAGTGGTTGTAGTGATGTGATTGTTTAACTCTAGAGGTTGTAGTGTTGTGAATAAGTGAAACAGAAGTTGTTGTAGTGATGTGATTGTTTAACTCTAGAGGTTGTAGTGTTGTGAATATGTGAGACAGAAGTGGTTGTAGTGATGTGATTGTTTAACTCTAGAGGTTGTAGTGTTGTGAATATGTGAGACAGAAGTGGTTGTAGTGATGTGATTGTTTAACTCTAGAGGTTGTAGTGTTGTGAATAAGAGAAACAGAAGTGGTTGTAGTGATGTGATTGTTTAACTCTAGAGGTTGTAGTGTTGTGAATAAGTGAAACAAAAGTGGTTGTAGTGATGTGATTGTTTAAATACAGAGGTTGTAGTGTTGTGATTGTTTAACTTAAGAGGTTGTAGTGTTGTGAATAAGTGAGACAGAAGTGGTTGTAGATGTGATTGTTTAAATACAGAGGTTGTAGTGTTGTGATTGTTTAACTTAAGAGGTTGTAGTGTTGTGAATATGTGAAACAGAAGTCGTTGTAGTGAAGTGATTGTTTAACTCTAGAGGTTGTAGTGTTGTGAATAAGTGAGACAGAAGTGGTTGTAGTGATGTGATTGTTTAACTCTAGAGGTTGTAGTGTTGTGAATAAGTGAAACAGTAGTGGTTGTAGTAATGTGATTGTTTAAATACAGAGGTTGTAGTGTTGTGATTGTTTAACTCAAGAGGTTGTAGTGTTTTGAATATGTGAAACTGAAGTCGTTGTAGTGATGTGATTGTTTAACTCTAGAGGTTGTAGTGTTGTGAATAAGTGAAACAGGAGTGGTTGCAGTGTTGTGATTGTTTAACTCTAGAGGTTGTAGTGTTGTGATAGTTTAACACTAGAGGTTGAAGTGTTGTGATAGTTTAACACTATAGGTTGTAGTGTTGCGAATGAATTAAGGCTGAAGTCTGACACTAACACTAGAGGATGTTGTGATAGTGTAACGCTAGAGGTTGTTGTATTTTGATAGTTTAACACTAGAGGTTGTAGTGTTGTGATAGTTTAACACTAGAGGTTGTAGTGTTGTGAATGAATTAAGACTGAAGTCTGACACTAACACTAGAGGTTGTATTTTGATAGTTTAACACTAGAGGTTGTAGTGTTGTGGTAGTTTAACACTAGAGGTTTTAGTGTTGTGATAGCTTAACACTAGAGGTTGTAGTGTTGTGAATGAATTAAGACTGAAGTCTGACACTAACACTAGATGATGTAGTGTTGTGATAGTTTAACACTAGAGGTTTTAGTGTTGTGAAAGCTTAACACTAGAGGTTGTAGTGTCGTGAATGAAGTGAGACTGAAGTCTGACACTAACACTAGAGGATGTAGTGTTGTGATAGTTTAACTCTAGAGGTTGTTGTGTTGTGATAGTTTAACACTAGAGGATGTAGTGGTGTGAATGAAGTGAGACTGAAGTCTGACACTAACACTAGAGGATGTAGTGTTGTGATAGTTTAACTCTAGAGGTTGTTGTGTTGTGATAGTTTAACACTAGAGGATGTAGTGGTGTGAATGAAGTGAGACTGAAGTCTGACACTAACACTAGAGGATGTAGTGTTGTGATAGTTTAACTCTAGAGGTTGTTGTGTTGTGATAGTTTAACACTAGAGGATGTAGTGGTGTGAATGAAGTGAGACATAAGGGATTGTATTGATGTGATAGTTGAACACGAGGAGTTGTATTGATGTTATAGTTGAACACGAGGAGTTGTATTGGTGTGATAGTTGAACACGAGGAGTTGTATTGATGTGATAGTTGAACACGAGGGGTTCTATTGATGTGATAGTTGAACACGAGGGGTTGTAGTGATGTGATAGTTGAATACGAGGGGTTGTATTGATGTGATAGTTGAACACGAGGAGTTGTATTGGTGTTATTGTTGAACACGAGGGGTTGTATTGATGTGATTGTTTAACACGAGGGATTGTATTGATGTGTACTTTTAACACGAGGGATTGTATTGATGTGATAGTTGAACCCGAGGGATTGTATTGATGTAATTGTTGAACACGAGGGATTGTATTGATGTCATTGTTGAACACGAGGGATTGTATTGATATGATAGTTGAACACGAGGGATTGTATTGATGTCATTGTTGAACACGAGGGATTGTATTGATATGATAGTTGAACACGAGGGATTATATTGGTGTGATAGTTGAACACGAGGAGTTGTATTGATGTGATAGTTGAACACGAGGGATTGTATTGATGTGGTTGTTTAACACGAGGGGTTGTATTGGTGTGATAGTTGAACACGAGGAGTTGTATTGGTTTTATTGTTAAACACGAGGAGTTGTATTGATGTGATAGTTGAACACGAGGAGTTGTATTGATGTGATAGTTGAACACTGAGGGTTGTATTGATGTGATATTTGAACACGAGGGGTTGTAGTGATGTGGTTGTTTAACACGAGGGGTTGTAGTGATGTGGTTGTTTAACACGAGGGATTGAATTGATGTGATAGTTGAACACGAGGGATTGTATTGATGTGATAGTTGAACACGAGGGATTGTATTGATGTGGTTGTTTAACACGAGGAGTTGTATTGATGTGATAGTTGAAGACGAGGAGTTGTATTGGTGTTATTGTTAAACACGAGGAGAGGGATTGTATTGATGTGGTTGTTCAACACGAGGGATTGTATTGATGTGATAGTTGAACACGAGGGATTGTATTGATTGGATTGTTGAACACGAGGGATTGTATTGATGTCATAGTTGAACACGAGGGATAATATTGCAGTGATTGTTGAACACGAGGGATTGTATTGATGTGATTGTTGAACACGAGGGATTGTATTGGTGTGATAGTTTAACACGAGGGATTGTATTGGTGTGATTGTTGAACAGGAGGGATTGTATTGGTGTGATTGTTGAAAACGAGGGGTTGTATTGATGTGATAGTTTAACACGAGGAGTTGTATTAATGGGATAGTTTAACACTTGGGGTTGAATTGATGTGAATGAAGTGACACACTAGCGTTAGTACCTCAGTAGATGTGATAGAAGTAGCACAATACCCATTAGTTCGACCATAATGACAATCTTAAATAGCCTGGATAATGGTATGTAATAAACTCATCAAGTTATACCATGATTATTTATGGAAAAGATGATTATGATAAAGAATGCTTTCACTGAGCATATTCGACTTGTATTCAGAGACCGCCGCAACAGCAACTGCAAGCCAGTTCAAGCTCCCGATGTTTGTAGGAATCGGTCTTGGTACCGGTCTCCTGGCCCTACTCTCCGCCGTCCTTGGCTACATCGTCTGCAGACGTCGCAACAACGTCGACAAGGAAGATGACCTGCCTAAGGGACATCCTTCTCCTTACTATAAATAAATAATCAAGTGACACTTGAGCGTGGAACAGAAAAACAAAATCTCCAAAATTTCTATTCACGCAAGTAAAAATGATAACGACGTACTTGGTCATTTTATTCCATTAAACTGCTTTTTATCGACGAAAGCCTTGATTAGATTTAATATAAAAAAGATAAACCAGTGATAACCAATGATTGACGTCTGAATTTAAATTGTGTAAATCTGTTGTTGAGTTTAACCTGAACAAATTCTTATTTACTATCTTAAATAAATTAGTTGTCTCGTGCCGAGGCAAACTTTATCAGAAACACTTCGTCAAACTGAAGTGAGTATTTGTTTCTTCACTCTTCCTCGAAACATCTCTTCTAAATTCGAAAGGAACTCATGCTAAACTTTCAAATAAGAAAATAATGGCGTATAATTGTAAACTTCCTGCAATAAAAAGCTGGTGTATATGCTTGTGTTGGTTGTTTACTGGTTGCTGTGAGGCACACAGCAGGTATTTTTTTTTGTTTATTGAGTGGGAAGCCGTCACCCAACGACCTAAAATAAACCAACTGTAGTTACTGTTGGGTGTTTTGAGTGAGTGAGTGAGTATGGTTTTACGCCATTGTACCCATGCGGGGAATCGAACAGGGGTCTTCGGCGTCAAGAGCGAACGCTTTCACCACCAGGCTACCCCAGCTTCCCATTGAGAGTTTTTTCTTGTGTAGTAGCGTAGGTTCGTGTCATCTCAAAACCATCGCAGAAATTGGACCCGTGAAGATCCGGGGTAGAATAGGTCTTCAGTAACCCATGCTTGTCGTAAAAGGCGACTATACTTATCGTAAGAGGCGACTCACGGGATCGGGTGGTCATGCTCGCTGACTTGGTTGATGAATCGTATCGTATCCCAATTGCGTAGATCGATGCACATGATATCAATAACTGGATTGTCTGGTCAAGACTCAATTCTTTACAGACCGACGTCATATAGCTTGATTATTGCTGAGTGCAGTGTTAAACAACGAACAAAACAAACAAACAAACAAACGAAACGAAAATACTGTGTTCTTCCGAAAATGAACGTCACTTAGTTTTTCTTACTTTGTTGGATTTGTCATTTTCCTAATTGTGCCTGTTTTAGTTTACTACAATAATATCCATTTTAAAGCAGAATCGAATTCCTGCGAGGCAGACACTGTATGTTCTTCATTGTAAATAACCAGGAACCTATTATCCTGGGTTCGATTCCTGATTATGTTCGTGGGTTTCACCAAGTGGTAAACATCTAACACCTGCATCACTTCGGGCTTTCCTCTCACATTAAACGTACACGCCGTGATATAAACAGAATACTGTACAAAGAGACCTTAAACCCAACTCACTCACTCATAGTGAATAAGAAACCTCTCTATACTCATAAAATATATCTGCTGAAAGAAAAACATATTTAAATCAGTCACTGATTTTACTGAAAGATTTCAAATCTCTTTGCCATACTTGAATCTCAACGTAATTGAAAGTACTGTGTAAATTATTGATTTGTAGATTTTAGGACATATATACATAAACACACAAAATACTGACACCTAACCCATCCCCATCCCACCTCATACCCGAATATCAAATAGTCGGTCCCTTGACTATTTCCAAACACTTGTTTAGTGGTAACTATTTTTGATAGAGCATTGTTTAACAATTAGTTGTTTTCGGTATTTCCAGGATTTTTGTTATTTTGGCAGATAAGCTTATCAATGCATGTTCGTATTTCTGCGAGATCTATCTTCACATAATATAAAATACATATTTGATTGGTTCATACTTAAATATCTGAATATGAAAAACAGAATTAGTGACGAATGATGAAACCACCTGTAAGCCACAATAGTTTGTTTTGCTTGTTTGTTGTTTAACGCCGCCCTCAGCAATATTCCAGCTATATGACGACGGTCTGTAAATAATCAAGTCTGGACCAGACAAACCAGTGATTGACATCATGAGCATCCATCCACACAATTGGGATCGATGACATGCATCAACTAAGTCAGCGAGCCTGACCACTACTGAAACTACCTCAGCGCCATCTATGTAGTTGTTGTTTGCGGGGTGTTTTTTTGTTTAATGACGCAATCAGCACTATTCCAGCGTTATGACGGAGGCCTATAATAATAATCGAGTCTGGACCAGACAATCTAGTGATTGATGTTGCGTTTTGTTTTGTCAGTTTGTTGTTTAACGCAGCACTCAGCAATATACCAGCTATATGAGGGCGGTCTTTAAATAATCGAGTCTGGACCAGACAATCCAGTAATGACATCACGAGCATCGACCTGCACAATTGGGATAAGATGACATGCATCAATCAAGCCAGCCTGACCACCCGATTGATTTTGTGAGCAACGACCCACTGCGTTTGGGAGCCTGAGCACCCGATCCGTCTGGTTGCCTGTTATGACCAGCATAGGTTGCTGGGTAGTAATAATTCTTACCCGGAATTACCACACGTGCCATCTAAACTGACGGCCAAAAGAAACTACACCACTTTTAAAATTAAATTGCAAAAGTTTATAAACACAAGTTCAAACTAAATCAATGCAAAACACACCGTGCAAACACAACAATGCTCAATGTAGAAAGTGATACACGTCCACGGCACTCTTTTGGCAACGAACAAAGCGAAAAACACGTGCCGCTTGGGCAGTCGAGACTATACGTGCAATAAGGGTATATTAAAGTACGGACGGCATGTCAGACACCAACACTGATAAGAACCCACCACAGAAATACCACCACTGACACCCGAAAACCGCGAGTATGTACTGGGTATGTTACAGATGGGAGCCACCCATGCCCACATTGCTAGAACTTTTGGTTGCTCCCGCGTTGATGCAACGTTACAGACAGACCGGGCAGACATCAGACAGGCCAAGAACTAGACAGCCCCAGGGTAACTACGCCCAATGAAGACCGGTACTTGCGTACTTTGCATCTCTGGAATCGAATCCTAAAAGTGGGCAGGCCACTCAGGGCTCAAGGACTTAGGGCTAATAGACCTTACAGAGGACAGCTAATGACAGCGCAACAACGTCGTCAGAGATTGAAATGTACCCGGGCTGTACGTCGTTTGCAGCGATGTGAATGGTAGGGGGTCGTCTCCACTGCTGAAAGTCGGTTCTTTCTGTTCAGAGCTGATGGAAGACAGCGTGCCATATGGTTGAGGGCTGTTATGTCTTCGGGAGGAATGTGTGGGCAGGAGAGAACACCACTGGTTATCGTTACATGGATGACGTTCTTCGTCCTATCATTTCTACAACAGCTGCCACGTGGTGTCCCTTTTCAGCATGACAACGTCAGACCCCATACAGGCCGAATTGTACAGAACTTCTTTGCAGCCAGCAACTTCAACGTGTTGCCTTGGCCTGCAGGCTCCCCATACATGTCCCCCATCTGTGATGTCACGGATCGTCGTGTTCGACATATACTACATCCTCCAGCCTACCGACAAGAACTGATCAAGGCCCTCTTGCAAAACGAATAGCGATGTATCCCACGCGACGTCATTAGACGAATGACTTTTTCTGTGTGCCGGAGAAGTTTTGAGTATCTTGTAGCAGGGGGTGGTCATACACGCTATAAATGTGACGTGTCATTTTAGCGATTTTAGATGTGTGTGCCCTTTGTCCATTACTTTGAAAGCTTCTTGTTGCTACCCCACCTCAATTCGGGCAACTACCATGCCAATATCGGATGCTGTATGACTGTCATTGTAAAGTGTATTTCGTCGAGATTGTGCTCTTCATAATATACAGGTTACTCTTTTGTGGGTGTTTTGGCAGTTTCTGTAAGAGCGGGTAACTGCAAATAAAAAAAATGACATCTGCCATATATCCCCGGGAAGACAGGTACATTTTGCCAAGGCCTCAATAATTTATTCAAACCTTCAAGAAAGTGCTAAGCTTTTATGCCGTACATTCGTATATCTACATGATTTTGAGATTAATACATTGAAAATGAACGGGTCATAATATGGATGGTCTGGCTGTGCAACTCTCGGGTTTCAGTGACGTATTTTCTTGACAGTTAGTATCAGCATAAAGAGCTATTAATCAAAACATTTACAGATTTAATATCTTTCATCTGCAATGTGACCCTGAACCCCCTATCAAATGACAATAAGTTTCATATCAGTCTTCGGACGATATGAGGTGTTATACGAAGTCTTAAATATGCGTGTAGGTTATGGTTGTTTGAAATAAGATCAGCAATTTCAGAATAGTAATAAGTCTCTTTATCTTTGTCAAGAAGAATAATACGTCTACAGAATACTGCATATACTTGTACTGTAGGCCTGTATAATTGTAACAGAGACATAATTCAGAGGAAATCTCTACTAAAAGCAGAGTACATTGTCCATTGTCCACGCAATCATAAGCATGCTTATGACTAATTATTAAATAGTGATGATAAAGGTATGCACCATGTCCAACCAGTGGCACCCATCACAAACACATGCATAGGCAAGGCAAGCGTGTATCTGAACAAACACGGAAACATATTGTCAGCTTGAAGGTGAGCACAATTGATGCCCATGGCGATGTCTACTTCTTTTTTTTAAATTGTCTTATCCCTAAATTTCAGCAATCCAACATTTCACATACGACTTTGGATGGCATTTGCTTTCATTTTTTAAATAAAAATGTCTTTAACCTTTTAAAATAGACATACGGTCACCAAGTATTGTGACAAATGCCCCATTAATCAATAATGAAGCGTTTCCTTAATTTTGTCGTTTAGGATAGTAGGGTACAAATTCCACCATTATTTCTGTGTTTATAAGAATAAATTCCTTGTATGTATTGAGAATTATGATAAATATTTGTGACAGGGATTTTGTTGGTACATTGCTGCAATATATCTCTCTGTGTAAGGATTTTTATGGAGCTTTGTCTTTAGGTTTTAGAGTCAAGTCAACATTGATAGTACTGATGCGTGGTTTTGGCCGATTTCTTTTTCAGTCAATATACTGACCGAACATGTGGCATTATTACTCTTGCTCAGAAGTTGTCTGATCAAGTTTACAATATTCAAGGCCTCAGTAAAGCTTTCAAAATGTTTTATGGTAGACATGATTTAAAGCATCAGTCACTATTTTGGCTTGTACAATATGTTCCCTTGTTTTTTCAGATGAACAATTGACTTGTCTTTGCATGTGTTTGTGACGGGTACCACCGGTGGGGCAGAATACGCTCACCTTTTCGCGAACACCTGGTATCATTACTATTTGATAGTGATTCATAAACACATGCTCATGATATAGTCGGAATCGTACAATCGGCTGCTTTATACAGAGATTTCTGGGGGATATGGAAGGAGTTTTGTCGCTTTACTTATTATTGATATGTCACTTTTACCAAGTTCTTTCAATTAATGTAGGGATGCTTATACATGATGGATATGTTATTTGAGGCCTTGT